TGCATTAGTGGCTTTGTTCAGAGCTAGCCAATATAATTTGTATTAAAATCAGTCATGTATATATGCCATCTTTTGCCATATACAAAGGCTACTCAAAGTGGTCTGTAGTCTAAATAGAACAACAGCATATAACAGGTTGGATTCAGAGGCTCCTTGTATGCTGGGTACAGATGTTTCCTATAATCAAGAGTAGATTGTTGTGGAGTGCAGGATACCATGGGTATAAGAGGAGAGAAAACATTGCTTTAGCAAAATGCCACTTGTGCTTCTTTACCTGTATCGCAGTTTTGAAAGGTCAAAATTAAATCTTTTAGTAATAAAATTCTGTTGAACTTTAAAGACATTCCTAAATTACTCTTTGTTCATCTTCTTTGTTCATCTTAAATCATATGTGACTGATATTCCTTTGTTTTCCCAGTGCTTTATGTGGATATGTATACCCTGTTGTTCAGATTGCACTCTGTCTGTATATTTAGAAATACAATAATATATAAATCGTATTATAAAGGCAAAAGGAACAAGAAAAAAAACATAGGGAATGGTAAATAAGCAGTGGACCTGCCTAGGCAGGAAAAAAATGGTTGTCTTCACCTTGGTTGTCTAGAGGTGGTGCTAGTTAAAGTTTCTTGGAAGTACAGCCCAAAATTAGAGTGCTTCAACAGAAATACCCTGTTATGAGTCACCTCTTGAGGCAGATTAAATAGCTGGGCAGGTTCAGGTGGGAGCAGTAAGCCTTTCGGGTATTGAACTCAGTGGCACTTGCACCTGCATAAAAAAGGAGCTGCATTTATTAAACTCCCAAATACTTCCATGTCATTAACCAATGGCATTCTAATCTCTTGTAACCCACTGTTATTTAAATAGAACTCAAATGAGGAATTACAGCAGCTTGGGAGGATGCATAGTGCTGGTTTGTCTGTATGACTGCTTGTGTTTGTTTGTATGACTATATTGTGATTAAGGCACCTCAGTCTTGGATTTGCCCACGTGAGCCATCATAGATCACAGTTGAAGTGACTAGGGATGGACAACCGGTGACCTGTAAATATTTTTGGACTGCAATTCTCATACTTCCTCACCATTGGCTATGCTGACTAGGGCTGATGACTTGCAGTCCAGCAACATCTGAAGGATCACAAGTTGCCCAGCACTGATGCAGACGGCCGCTTTATCGCATGAAATGAAATGCTGCATAGCTTTATCAGTATGAATAAGAATGAGTATTATAGAGTATAGATACTTTAAAACTGTACTCATGTATTATTACTTTGCTAGCTGTATTGTGAACATAATTTTTTGTTGAAAGAGTTGTATATAAATTACATAAATATATAAATTCTGTGACATATCACCTCAGAATACGTGTTAATGATTACAAAGCCACACAAGCCAGTCCCCTTGCAGGTGTTTGCAGGCCTGCAGCACACTTTGGGTTAAACAGGAATATGCATGCACCCCATTCTCAGGCATCCCTAGGTCAATTCAACTGTGCCCCCCCCATCTTTGGAATAACTCCCTGCTGAGACCTGCTGGGTGCCAAATTTGCAATCTTTTTAGCTCTAGGTCAAGGCAGCCCTCTATGTGGAGTCCTTTAAAGACCTCCTTGGTTATCCAGGGGCCTGAAGGGATTATCCAGGTGCTTTTTTGTTGCTGGACCTTTTGCTGCATTTTAAATTCATTTTAAGATTGCTGTTTTTATGGTATTTGTACTGGATTTTATTGTTTTTATACATTGTTATAAAACAGCCAGAGAGTTTTGACTATAGGGTGCTATAGAAGGGAAATAAATACTACTACTACTACTAGATGTGGTGGTTGCTGTTCAAACTAATCGCAAACTGCTTTTATAAGTGGTGGAAGGGTGACAGAATTCAATATATGTTTACACTGGTCCTGATGACAGTACATTTAAATCTTAGTACATTCAGAAAGTTACACATGCTTTTTACCCTTCACGTGACTGCTTCTGCTTCTGGGGGAAATTGATCTCAGGGTGACTCAAGTATACCACAGCAAACATAGTCATGCAAATGGCACCTGAGATTTTTCAAAGAGCAAGTTGTTTTGGTCCCTTTCAGGTTACTAAGTTATATATATCATGTTCTGAAGTGTCAACTTGTAGAACAGAGAAAACACTTGCAGTGTAAAATTACGTGTTTGTTTATATTGGGAAGATAGACTTCTGTGATGTAAATTTGTTTTCCTAGTGGGCAGATTGTCAGAGCATGTTCTATGATTTTAAGTAATTGTTCCCTTAAGAATAGTCATAAATGGTTTTTCCAGTTTCATCATGTATCACAGGTTATGCTCAGGACATGTGCAAACTTCAGCTTGTTTGTTTGAATCTTCGTGCAAGGAATTAACTGACAATATGATTATGAATACATTTTAGGCTTTTGTGAATGCTGTCATGTGGCATACTACTTCTTTGCAGTTGATAATCTTTTTTATTTGAATCTTCTGCACTTTGCCCAAGTGGTGTGGGTGGGCTTAAAGGAAGGGGAACTATGCCATCTTTCTCTCACTTTCTGTATAAGGTTTTTATTAGTGGTGTTGCTGCTGCTGCTAATTTGATTTCTATACTGTCTAATAGCCAAACATCTCTGGATAGTTTACAATAATGTAGACATTTTCAAATGTCAGCCTAGATCTTTTTAGCCTCAATACTTTTCCTATAGATTTTCAAATGTCTCTATTTTAATTATTTTAAGAATTGTAAAATGTAAACCATGTAAAAAGTTGGAAAATGTTACAACATTAAAATTACAACACTATGAGACAAAAAAGGACTGAAGACTGCAACCCGTCAAGCACTACAGTTTTTATATATGTAGACTATAATTACAGGGTCAGAACACTTTAAATGGAAGGCTCGTCGGACTTACTGGAGATTCACTGACATATGGTGGAGGGCACCCTAGATTTCTTTAAGTGTTCCTTGTTCTTTTAAATAAAACTTATATAAATTCAGAATGATTGCCTTCTAGCAGGATAGGCTTTTGAGTGTATAACAGGCAGGGTATAATGAAAAACAAGCTTTCCCCTGAAGATTTTGAAATGCAAGAAGCAGTTGAATTATTAACATAAGTTTCAAGCTGCAAGTCACAAGCAAAGGCATGTAATGAATTTTAATGAAAAGCTCCATCAGGAGTCTGTTGGATCTGAGGAAATGCTAATTGCTTCCCCATTAGCCATTTTGGTGCTCTGAATTGCCCTTCAAAAGGTTATTCCCTCTATAGTTACAAATGAATAACTGTGAATGTTCATCAAGAACCTTATAGATAAAGGTTTATAAGGTGATAAAGCAGGAAAGGCTGATCTTGAGCAGAAAAGGGGCTGCTTTCTCTTCCCACTCCCCTGATTCTCACTTCACATATAATTGAGGTATACTGGTGCTGGTTTTAAATTAAACATATTGGCTGGGTCCAGACAACATAACAAGCCTGGATGTTTTCTGCATTCTGGATTATCATTTCCATGATTCTGATATGCAACTGCTATAGAGTTTTCTGGAAAGAGTGGCCATTTCTTGAGCTGCTCTAGTCATCCAGCCTCTCGGTACAGACCATTAAGGACCAAGCAGGTGACACAGGCAGGGAACAGTGTACCTTGGGACTGAATTTCAGGCATGGTGGCTGAGGACTGAGAAGGACAACGGAAACCACAATTGCATAGAAGCCACTTGATTTTTTCTCAGGTATATCATGATTAAAAAAACAACAACAGGCAAGCCATGGTCACCATGCAGGGTTGTTTTTTGTCCTGCGTGAAAGCTGTGTTAGGACTTCATGCAGCATACTTGGATGTAACACTTTGTTTGTAAGTTTATATTTCCTCTCATCTGGGTGCTTGTGGAAGACCCTAGCTTCCTAATTTTTTAATATAAAATTAGTCTCAGATTTTAAAAGTAAACCTCAGGTTTGAACTAATAATTAGCAATGCTATTGTCACAGTAATGTGGAAACAGGGTTGCATTAGCAGTGCTTTGTGTATGATCATGGATTACTGCAACTCCATCCTGCTAGATCAGTGTTGAATCATATGACACAAACCAAACTAGCCTTTTTCTAAAACTGTGAAGTGATATTGAGCATCTGGAAACTATTGTTAAAATAAACAAAATATTTTTTTTTTCTTTTTGACATAGGCTAAGGCTTTTGTAAACCTAAACTAGAATTATTTCTGTCCTACTCTTGTTTCCACAGTAATTCTGTTTAAATTTGTTCTCTTTGGGAAGGTTCTACAGTTTAAAAATGAAGTGATCACAGGATCTGAGGGTTTCATGTTTTGCTATGATTTAGGCTTTGGATAATCATTGTAAATTGGGTTACCATTTGTATGCTTATTTCAATCAAAAGTTTCATGGGAGTCATTCCTAAGGAAAAGCCAAATCAGACATTACTTTTAAAAAAAGTTTTTGTTGTTGCTTTTATGTTACTCTAGAGCAGGGGTCTCAAACTCGCGGCCCGCGGGCCAATTGCCGGGAGGGGCGGGGCACGGGGAGGGGCCCTGCGGCCTTCAAAGCACTGGCGGTGCCCGGGCTGGCCGCAGGATGAGCGGCCCACCACCACCGCAGTGGTGGAATACTTGATGCGGCCCAGCCTCACCCAGACTCTACTTCCAGTGACCCCCAGGTAAGTTGAGTTTGAGACCCCTGCTCTAGAGTAAATGAAGGAACCTTAATCCGGACTCAAGGATGGGCTGAAGGTAACCCTTTCCCTTTCCCTCCTTATGTGGTTTTGCTTAAGATAGAGTGTCCACAATTCCAGTTTTTATTGAGAAATGATGATCGTTTAAACCATATAGAACCACCATGGGTACTAGTGAACTGTGAACCGTGCATTTGACTTTCAGCTCTCTTTGATAAATCTGATCTTAATTTATTGGAGAATTTTTTAAATAAGTAGGACTGTATTCTGTTCTAACTGGTTCAAATATTTTTGTTGTTGTTGTTGTTAGTCGCAAATATTTAGCTTTTCAATTTTCCAATCTCCTTCCAGAATCAGACCTCAGCTAGCCAAAGAGAAGATTGAAGGATGCCACATCTGCACATCTGTCACACCTGGTGAACCACAAGTATTCCTGGGAAAAGATAAGGCTTTCACTTTTGATTATGTGTTTGATATTGAATCCCAGCAAGAAGAAATATATGTACAGTGCATGGAAAAGCTGATTGAAGGCTGTTTTGAAGGATATAATGCTACTGTGTTTGCATATGGTCAGGTAAGACATATGCATGCTCCCAAATGAAGTGCTTGCTTTTCACTGAAAGCAATTTTGCCATGGTGTGGGGTGGGAAGCAAGGTATGGGGAAGATAGTGATTTATTCAAGTGGGATGCAATTTCAGATTACAGCAGAGATGAGGTCAGATAGACGTAAATGCGTTTACCAAGCTTTAGAGCTCACTTTTGATATGTTGTTGTTGTTGTTAGACATGAAGTCATGTCCAATCCATTGCGACCCCATGGACAACATTCCTCCAGGCCTTCCTGTCCTCCACCATCCCCCAGAGTCCACTAAAGCTCACGCCGACTGCTTCAATGACTCCATTTAGCCACCTCATCTTCTGCCATCCCCTTCTTCTTTTGCCATCTATTGTTCCCAACATTAGGCTCTTCTCCAGGGAGTCCTTCCTTCTCATTAGGTGGCCAAAGTATTTGAGTTTCATCTTCAGTATCTGGCCTTCTAAAGAGCAGTCAGGGTTGATCTCCTCTAGGACTGACCGGTTTGATCGCCTTGCTGTCCAAGGGACTCGCAGGAATCTTCTCCAGCACCACAATTCAAAGGCCTCAGTTGTTCAGTGCTCAGCCTTCCTTATGGTCCAGCTTTCACAGCCATACATTGCAACTGTGAAAACCATAGCCTTGACTATACACACTTTTGTTGGCAGAGTGATGTCTCTGCTGTTTACTATGCTGTCTAGATTCGCCATAGCTTTCGTCCCAAGGAGCAAGCAATTTTTAATTTCTTGGTTGCAGTCCCTGTCTGCAGTGATCTTTGAGCCCAGGAAAATAAAATCCGTCAGTACCTCCATTTCTTCCCCATCGATTTGCCAGGAAGTGATAGAAGCCAACTTTTTCCAAGCCAACTTTTGTGCTTTCCTCCTTCACCCGCACCAAGAGACTCTTCACTTTCTGCCATTAGAGTGGTATCATCTGCATATCTGAGGT